CGGTAGAGTCGATGGTCTTTACACTCTTCGGTCTTCACACGAGGAGGCCTTCACGCGACGGCTGCCGCGGTAAACTAAGCTTTTTTATACCCGTCTAACAAAATACTAAATTAATTAAGCTGGACACACTTTCCTTATTTTCTCCACAACAAATGGCCAAGCAAGCGCAGACACTGACAAGATACGCGATACAGAACCAGACCAAACGCGATATCAGCACGTCTCCACACAGTAAACAAAACAAGCGTTTCCTAGCAGCGACAACTGCACTACACACCAATGAGACAAGTAAATACACTTACTTAATTATATAATTCAGTGCATTTGGTTATCCCTAAATTGCAATCACGTTCTATAGAAACTAAATATCTATTGAATCTATATCTATAGATGCACCAAATGATCCACTGATTAACCATCAAGATGAGTTAGATTAAATAATAGACAAATGTATTAAACTGAATGAGAAGTCATGCTAATGAAAAGTTAGATAGTAATAGCTTTTATGAAAGGCTGTTACTGTGAACGATACATTATATAGATTAAACACTTATTTTGTGTAGTGAAAAGGATATTTTGTGATTGTGTGTAATGTGTTGTATTCACACAATTGAAAATATGCTGAAATGTTTGAAAAAGTGCACTTTTGATGATTGATGATCTGTTTTGAAGCAATTTAAAAAAATCTGTATAGGGTTCGATAGAAATGTCCATCTACCAGTGTCCAGTGTTAGTATTGTAGATGCTCAGTGTGGTAAACTCCTGACTTCCAAGATTATCTAACTGCGTGACGTTAATTCCATTAATGATGCAATTTCACATGCTTCAGTAATTTATCTGCATTAAATTATTTTAACGCGTTAAGGTTAAGAATCGCACAAGTTAACATTGACAGCCCTACTTGTGTTTTGATGTTCTTCCCCAGGCCGGATGGACAGCTAATGATTCTGGAGAACCTGGTATCTGCTGTGAACGTTTTTCTGCGCTCAGTGCTTCTGTCCAGCAGAAAGAGGGTGTGTGGTCTGGGTGAGGAGGTTCTATCATCTATGCTGCGTGTTTATACTGAGATGAGACCCAGCTTGGTACTGAAAGAGGAGCTAGTGAAGTTTTTCCACCTCCAGCTTTGTGTTCATCACCCCAGAGGGGCAAAGACTCTTGAGACAGGTAAGAAATACAACAATCATTAAAAAATGACAACATTTTAATATTTTTGCTCTTGAATATAACTTGTAGGGTGTTATGATTTTTGATGCCTTATGATTTGTTGAAAAAACAGATGGAATCACTGAAAACATGGAGTATTGACTGCGTATTCATTCAAATATTAGTGGCTATGTAAACTTCTGGTATGAATGAACTTCGAGGAATCTATTTTAAAGAAATATACAACTATATTTTGAAGAAAGATATTGCTATTATTTAGTAAAATTTACTTCTCAGAGCAGTAGTACAAATAATGATATTGAGAAAAAAAGAATTTTGTTTGTTCTTACAGGTTTTACCATAAAAAATTAGAGCAAATTTGGACAGTTGGTGTGAGTAATGTTCAGACTGTCTTCTATCAGTTTGCCATATTTCATAAATTTCCCACAAGTGGTTCTACGGGCTTCCATTTAAAGGGGTCATATGATGTTGCTAAAAAGAACATTATTTTGTGTATTTGGTGTAATGAAATGTGTTTATGCGGTTTAAGGTTCAAAAAACACATTATTTTCCACATACTGTACATTATTGTTTCTCCTCTATGCCCCGCCTTTCTGAAACGCGTCGATTTTTACAAAGCTCATCCGTCTGAAAAAGCGAGGTGTGCTCTGATTGGCCAGCTATCCAGTGCGTTGTGATTGGCCGAATTCCTCAAGCGTGAGACGGAAATGTTACGTCCCTTACCATACTGTGATGCCCCCGGTCTGGACTCCGCTTCGTCCACGGTGAAAAGCCCGGAAAGACAGCGCGAAGTTGATATTTCCTC